CTTTTCAGTCAACTGGTGGTTACGTATCATCGCCCTTTGTTTATCTTCAACGGCCTTGTAAAAACATGTTAAATTCTCTTGCTCATCACTGACTCATTCACTACCTGATCTTTCCAATGGGTTCGTTAGCTGTTGACAGCTACCACAGCCACTGAATCGAACCGAACAGTCTTCAATGTAATTTCCTTTATCAGTAAATCACAGACTTTAGTCATTTTCTACTATCTGAGATATGAACGCAAGACCGGACATGTGAAATACGGTTGCTAGCTGAGAATATCACCTTAATCGGCCGGTATTCTGCGACGAATCGCACCGACTGCAATACTTTGTGTTGTCGCAGCGAATAAAGTTTTACTACCCCTCTAATTTCATGCAGACTGGTCCCCCCTCCAGTCTGGTTGTTTATCAAAGTTTTCTCTTTTAAATTTGGCAAATCGAGGTCTAATCGCAAGGCAGAAGTGGCGATCTCCATTTTTGAAATAGGCGAATCGCTTTCGCCTCGTCACGAAATTTACATGAGGAATTATGATTATTTTTTTTTCTAAGAAACGAACTTCTCGCGCTCGAATGCAGCTACGTCTTGGTGGTCTCACCTCTGCCTAACTGCTACTTGTTATCTGTCACAGCTAAACTCCATGTTTGGAAATCGTTCCCATATCTGCAACCCGGGTATGCGCCAGATGGCCTGCAGTTAGGCATGCTTGAACTTAGAATACCATAAAATATCACAAAATGCTTCGCTCTCCAATGGAAACAAATGCTTCAACTTCCGTGTATCCGTTTCCGTTTGTAATCAACACCATGCTGTAAGATATGTCATATGATACTTGAACAAATATCATTTTATTAAATTATGTTATTTTGTAGTTTCGATGGAAATAAAAAATAAAAAATCAACTTCTCCCCTACAACTGACAAGTGACTGGCCCTACGTAATTAAAGAGTGTTACCATTGCCGAATCTGAATATTCGCGTTCGTTCGTCTCATGCAATTTGTGGTCATAAGTTTCCATATCATTCTGCTGCCTTATCGTCCAATCGCAACTGATGTCTTTCAAATGGTCGCTTGCTGTTGGGTACCAATACGTTATTGCTGAAATCCGTCGGTCATCCGTTAGTCGTGCGACCCATGACTTGGGTGAGCGCATGCAGGAAACTGCAGGACACATCGTTTTTGATTTCTATTCGATTTTGGCAAATGTTTTTGGCTACTGTCCACTCTTGCTGGGCGTCTTTAATTTGCATTTTCTGGCCGAATGGGATTTCAGGTAACAGCTTTATGAAACTTGACATTTCCAGAGTTTTCACTCATGAGTTTTAGCAGAGACACTCTTTCTCCGGCGGTTTATCCTCCACATCAAGAAGTGGTGCCTCATTTCGCGGAGGGCATCTCTCTCACACCAACTCAAATACATGAATTGCTGTAGTCACTGCGAATGCATAATAATACCTGCAGATCATCATACAGTTGTTTCTGCTGTTAGATTCTTGAAATTACGTAATTCGCGCATCTGGAATATGATTTAGAAAGGATAAGCGATCGTCACAAATTAGGCAGCAACTAGCTACCAAGATGATGGTAGTGATTGACTCTGATTAATATCTTGAATAAAAAAATAAACTACAGCCTGATACAAACTTTTGCATTATCAAAATGACAGATATATTTTAACCTCACCTAAGAACACTGTACTTTTAAACGCAGAGAGTAACTGGAGACCTAAAAAACATTTTAGTAGCAGCTTCGTAGTCACACAAGAAGTGTACTTTTCAAGCCAACTGGCTGAAAACCTTGGAGACGGCCAAGAATGATTTGAGGCACACGCAGGTCTTTGTAACAGACTCAGATTATGTTTTGCTAAAGCTAAAATGCTGACACAGGATCAGTAAAGTAGAAGACACTCTCTGACAAGTATGCCTCTGCGACCCAAAAGGACACGCGGTCATCGAAATGACTGATTGAGGGGTAGATTTAGTGAAAATCCAGTAAATCTGATGATTTGCTGTCTTGGACTAGTCCATGTTTCGCTAAAGAATTATAGCGCGAGTAAACGGAGGCTTCCCAATACATTGTGTCATAATGCTTCAGCATTAACTCGCTGTTACCGGCCCCACGCTCAGATTGGAAAGGAGGATGTTTCGCGACTATACCGAGGTACACCGCAAATCCTAGCCACCTGTCCCTCATATTATTACCGTTACGTCTGCTCGATTGTCGACGGGCTACCAGGAAAACTAGGACCAGGATATCCAGAATAACCGGTCAGAATAACGCAGGCCGTTGAGGAACTGAGAGAGACAACGAAAAGTCGCTAATCAGAACCTGTTTCTCGCCTTCTGGCAGCTGCGGGCGTAGTAGTACGTAGAGTTGTCGAACATCGACAAGAAGACTGCAAAAATACCAGCGAGCAACGGAACGTTAACAGTTCCGAACGAAGGAGGCAGACAGCGCGATGCTGTTATATGGCGTCAGATAAGGCTGCATGGGAACGATGCTGACAGTGGGCATATGTCCTCCCATACAATACTTAGACCAAGCCTCATTTTCCGCATGATTGAGTTTACGTCGTGGTTTCAGTATAGACAGAGACTTAGGCAGCAGCCCTGTAAATGCCGCAGATTACCGGTCTGGACTGTACAGCAAATTAGTTACAGTCCATAAAGGTATGGACTGAATTGTGAATTAATTTAAATCTGTATCTGCATTGACGTATTACCGTTATGACAGCTATGGAGGCATCATAATTTTTTACACCACGAAACAAGCTTCTACTACTGAGGCAGTGGTACTTGGAACTTACACAGCTGCATAACTTATGCTTCTTTAGGATACCTTAGCTTGGCTGAAACTAAGCCGAAAGGGTCATCGCTTTGTCAGTTTACAAAGTAAGCCTGGCCTTCTCGTCATACCGCCACCAAACGAAGGGAAAATGATGACGAATGAGAAAAACGGGCGTGGATCCTCGAAAGACGTTGGCGAGGCGTGATTATCGAATAGGAGTTAGAAGGAGATATTTTTTTGTACCAGTTAGATGCGCAACGCCTTGGAAATCGAGCTTGGTAACGTCGTCTACGTTTCAGCCTGCATTTGTTTAGTGATTCTTCTTAACAGAAGGCGATATTTGTAAATTATTTACAAGCACACATGTCGATCACGTGATTATGTGACAATTCACTAGAAGTTGTGCTGCTTAAACGTACTATTATTGACAAACACAAGGAAATATCTGTTTACTTGACTTGAATATATTAACAAATCACCGTGAATCCACCAGGACCAGATTTTATGATCGTGTATCGCGTCTTAATCGTTAATTGCCTAGGAGTCGCCTCCAGGACACGTAAGAGACCAGGCTTCATAACATTTTAACACTTACCTTCAGTGCCAACTGCGTCTTGCATCATATAGTTCAACAGAGTAAACTCGTCTTCATCACAAACTTTTCTGCACACTATATATGCCATGGAGCAAGCATCAAAATATATGTTCGTACATTCAAACCTGTGAATTGGAGAATGACTTATTAAAGGACAGATTACAAGAAGTGCAGCATCTCTCGCTTGCTGTCAGTTTCCTGTAGGGGGGGGGCACATAAGCAAGATTGGATAAATGC